CAAAAGACTATAAAATTTTCAGGGTCTAGTTTTTGCTGTGAAATAACTGAAACAAAGGACAATGGGCAAAATTGCATGGACACTGCACCCACGTCCGCCACGGCTTAAACTACATTTGTTTGAAAGGTATCATAGTCATGATCATTTGTGCCAAAGCGCATCAAATTCCATCCCGGGAGTCTAGTTATTTTAAGTTAAATAGGTACAATTCCATAGGTAAAAGTAACTATAACGAACATAATATTTAAAGATACAAGGACGAGTATATAGAACGGATATATTAATTGACGACCACGGAGATCGTCAATTAATATATCCGAGTCGAGTGGTTTGTACGCCGGGTTTCATGGTGTCGCTGGCTCGAGAGGTCCCGGGTTCGAATCCTGGTAGGGGCAGATGTTTGTGTGCCGAGTACGAGCATTTAAATTGATCCATAGATTTTTTATTAGCTCGTACGATTATAATGACGTACGCGATGATAATCGTGTTCCTATTTCTAAAGCGTGTTAGTTAAATATCAATGAAATAACAGGGAGCGCACAAAATGTAAGACATAGGACTGCATACGAGTAGACTAGTTGCAACGGCAACTGCAATATCACGTCCTTCAACCCCCATACCCTGTTAGACGTTTTGAGGAGTCTCAGTAAGTGCAAGCAGCAAGCAAGCAGGATAGTCGGTAGGCTTTGTTGTTTAGTATTTTGTATCTGGTGGTACAGTAAGATATGATTCACTCACTTATTATTGCTAATATTATAAAACGAAAGTACTATTGATATTGAATGAATTTCTTTAGCTATTTAAATATCATCATCATCAGCCTATTAATGTCCCCACTGCTGGGGCACAGGCCTTCCCTATGGATGAAATAGGGAGATTGGGCCATGACCCGTCACGCGGGCCCAGTGCGGATTGGCGGGTGCTAACGACTGCAGATGCAGCCGGGACCAACGGCTTAACGTGCCTTCCGAAGCACGGAGGAACTCGAGATAGATGTTTTTGGTCACCCATCCAATGACCGACCACTGCGGAAGTTGCTTAACTTCAACGATCGCAACCGAACGCGCTAACCACCTGCGCCATCGAGCTTCTCTATAAGGAGCTATTTAAATATGCCCGTGTGTAACCAGTCCCCATGACTTACACACAAAGGTCGTCTATAAGGACTATGTGCGGAAACCTTATCCCCTAATATAGAACATACCCAGGTGTATATCTTTTGACCCCCAGGTTATTTATTTTTGGTGCCATAATAAAAAAGGCTAGTTTTTCATAGATCTATCGATTCATACTAATTACATTGTTGGCGGAGCTGGGTGCGTTTTGCCCATTGTCCTTTATGTTTTTATTTTTTAAGCATTTAACTGCTAGATGTTTAAATCTAAAGAAAAGTTTTACTAGAAAAAATCCACGCGGACCAGGCAGCGGACGGGACTCGAACCCGCACCCTTCGCAATTCGGGCGAATGCACTGACCAAATATGCTACCACAGCCCTGATGGCCGCGTCGAAATTTTCCTAACCTTAAGCTGCAAGGCAGCGCCATCTCTTCGCATTGTAGGTAACCCACAATGTCAAATAAATACTTTTTCAAGTATTAAACATTTGAAAGAAGAAATAGCAATTATAATTATGTTTTTATTTTTTAAGCATTTAACTGCTAGATGTTTAAATATAAAGAAAAGTTTTACAAGAAAAAAATATTTACCTCATACTGGGTTTATTCATCTAGGCGCCCCCTGACGGCGATTAGTGTCAACATCACTATGTTTAAAAGTAATAAAAAAGCACGCCATATCGAGCCGTCAATTTTTTCATTATGTACTAGATCTTATGAGTTTCGATAGAATACAAATAATTATGTTACAAAGTCTGGAAAATTCGCAGCTAAAACTTGATTGTCTTTTGTTGCCTGTCTAGAGTGATAAAGAAAAATACTTGTTTTTTATATAATTATAATATTTTTGCGTCCAGTGTAATATTGAAGAACTAACTGTCTATTAACATAAGCACTTCAATACTGTTTTTTGTTCGTCTTAAGTATTTTTAAACTTATGTGGTGGCACCCAAGGTCTATAACTTTAAGTGCTGTAATTGTTACGACCAACTTGTATATATATCACCAGTTTTTACCATGTTTTTATAAATTTACAGATGACAATGCAATGTCCATGTTTTTATAGTATTCTGTTATAAATACTTTGTACATAACCATAGTTATATTGTTTTAAACTTTCATGGTCACTAACATTATAGATATTAACGGGATTGTTACCATGTACCTTGTTTTTTATGAGTCTCCGATATTTCGGCACTGTTGCAAGCGCCATGATCACGGAGTAACTGGAGTAATTGCGGGTAGATGTTATTGGCAGACATATCGGTCTACCCTCTGACGTCGTCTTTTACTGCGTTCGATACTACCACTACCATTGGTCACATTCTCACTATTCACTCGCATTTGTTCCCGGCACACAATACTCACAGCATCAGATCGCGGAACGACACTTTTTTGATTTTTGCGGTTTTTACACATACGAACCACTGGATTCCACACACTAGACAATTTAAACCCATCCTCACGATTGAAATTCTTGTGTTTGGTTATTTGAATCGCTTCCCTGACCAATCTTGGTATGTAGTGGCGTTCTGTCGAGATAATTTGTGGATTATGGAGCTCAATCCAGTGATTAGGACCCGAATCAATTAAATGTTCCGCGATGGCTGATTTTTGCGTATCATTATTTCTGACTGCTTTAATGTGTTCTTTCATTCGGCACGCTATTGTCCGTTTCGTTTGGCCAATATAAGAACTACCACAGCTGCAGTCGATCTTGTATACACCAGGTTTCTCCAAGGGGAAGTTATCTTTAGGAGACCGTAGAATCTGTGATACTTTTTGTAAAGGAGTGAAGACAGTATTCAGTGAGTACTTATTAAGTATGTTGGAGATCTTGTCTGTCACTCCTTTGACATATGGCAAAAATAGTGGTTGCCTGTCTACTTTGTGTTTCTGGTGTCTTAATTTGTGTTTGGGTGGAAACTTTCCCTTGTATCCGTTATTCTGTAAGACCCGCCGTACATGCTCCAACTCTTCGTGCAGGTGTTCCTTGTCACATAAGTCATATGCACGGTTCGTCAGTGAAGTGACTACAGAATTTAGATGTTTAGGGTGGTGATGCGAGGAGGCCTTGAGATAACGGTCTGTGTGTGAATCTTTGCGGTGAATGGAGTGACTCAGCGAACCGTCATTCCGCACTCGAATCTTTACATCAAGAAAGGCCAGACTTCGGTCTTCTTCCATCTCATATGTGAACCGCATTTTGGTATGGACTCCATTTAAGTTTGCCAAGTGTGCCTCGACATCTTCTTTGTTTCCTCTCAAAACACAAAATACATCATCGACATACCTCTTCCATAGTGCAATTTCTGTGGGGGAGGTGGCGAAAGCTTTTTCCTCAAAATACTCCATCCATATATTGGCTACTACTGGAGCTACCGGACTGCCCATTGCCACCCCATCTATTTGGAGGTAGTACTGACCTTGGTATATAAAGAAGTTCGTTGACAAACAATGATGTAACAACTTGGCATATTCTGTTGGGATGCCATTATCCTGCAACTTCACCTTTACTACTTCCAGACAGTCCAACACAGGTACATTTGTGAAAAGTGATTCCACGTCGAAACTAACCATCAACTGATTGTATTCCACCTTGTTTTGGTGTAAGATTTCCACGAAATGGCGGGAATCCTTTACAAATGACGATGTTCGTCCCACTAACGGCTGCAATATTTTTGCTACATGCTTGGCCAGTTCATACGTAGGTGAGTCTATCTATATTGCAGCCGTTAGTGGGACGAACATCGTCATTTGTAAAGGATTCCCGCCATTTCGTGGAAATCTTACACCAAACGGATACAAGGGAAAGTTTCCACCCAAACACAAATTAAGACACCAGAAACACAAAGTAGACAGGCAACCACTATTTTTGCCATATGTCAAAGGAGTGACAGACAAGATCTCCAACATACTTAATAAGTACTCACTGAATACTGTCTTCACTCCTTTACAAAAAGTATCACAGATTCTACGGTCTCCTAAAGATAACTTCCCCTTGGAGAAACCTGGTGTATACAAGATCGACTGCAGCTGTGGTAGTTCTTATATTGGCCAAACGAAGCGGACAATAGCGTGCCGAATGAAAGAACACATTAAAGCAGTCAGAAATAATGATACGCAAAAATCAGCCATCGCGGAACATTTAATTGATTCGGGTCCTAATCACTGGATTGAGCTCCATAATCCACAAATTATCTCGACAGAACGCCACTACATACCAAGATTGGTCAGGGAAGCGATTCAAATAACCAAACACAAGAATTTCAATCGTGAGGATGGGTTTAAATTGTCTAGTGTGTGGAATCCAGTGGTTCGTATGTGTAAAAACCGCAAAAATCAAAAAAGTGTCGTTCCGCGATCTGATACTGTGAGTATTGTGTGCCGGGAACAAATGCGAGTGAATAGTGAGAATGTGACCAATGGTAGTGGTAGTATCGAACGCAGTAAAAGACGACGTCAGAGGGTAGACCGATATGTCTGCCAATAACATCTACCCGCAATTACTTCAGTTACTCCGTGATCATGGCGCTTGCAACAGTGCCGAAATATCGGAGACTCATAAAAAACAAGGTAAATGGTAACAATCCCGTTAATATCTATAATAACCATAGTTATTTACAAAGTATTTATACATAACTATGGTTATGTACAAAGTATTTATAACAGAATACTATAAAAACATGGTATAATAAAAACGGGTGATATATATACAAGTTGGTCGTAACAGTAATGAAAAAATAATATCGATGTACATGACTGTTTGTTGTCCAGAATAAAATAAACAAAAAATATATTTGTGAAGTGTTCAGCCATTTGTTAATGTTAATAAGAAAAAAAACTCTTCGAAGAATAAAATATTATTTCTATTTATATTTCAGGTTGCACCATTCATGCAGCTCAAAGGAGGAATACGGTTTATAGAAGAACTACCAAGAAACACACGTGGAAAAATCTTAAGAAGAAGTTTAAGAGAAATGCTTCAGGAATCATAATGATTTTATATGAAAAACTAGTCTTTATATGTGATGTTAGTTTCATTATAATAACAAAACTAAACATCCTGAACGGTGCAGTCAGCGACGACAATTAAAATGATGCTATCTTTTTTTGCGATAGCAATAGATTAAGACTGGCCAATCATGAAAGTATGACGTGTCCCACTGTGTCATACAAAAATAAACTATGATTAAAGAAGTCAATCAAAATCTATCTTTCATTCTCTTCCATAAATTAATTTATATATATATATATTACTGCACATATGTGTAGTAATAAGAATATTTTAAAATAATAAAGCGCTCATTGATTAAAAGTTAATAATTAACTCGTGCATTAATATTGTTTAAGCACGATAAGTAGGTAGTGTAATAAACATTTATCAGTAAAGGTATTGACTTTAGATAAAGCGACAACAGTATTCAATTCAAAGTCAAAGGTCAAACAATAAAGAAATTATACGCAGCACAATAATAAAACGATTTTCAATTAAAGTTCAATAGTTATTTTGGCTTTTGTCATCACTTGCTTCAACTGCGTTAACCCATCGGTAACCAAGGACAAGAATAGTAATGATATTTTGCGAAGATTTTACTATGATGCCACAAATCCACAATACAATGCTGGCACTTATTTGTACACAAGCAGGCATTATCAGCACAGGCCGTCCGCATTGCGTAGTCGCACCCGTCAAGGGGGATAGATAGATAGATTAACACTTTATTATAACACCAAATATATAATTACGTAATTACATTCACAAACAATAATATTAACAAAAGCGTTATAATTGGCGGTCTTATCGCTAAGAGCAGAAGAGATTTCTTCCAGACAACCACTGAGTATGAAAAGTTATACAGAGACCATAGGGGTGTTAAATGGCTTGGAATAAATAGTCACATCCATACATACAATCTACATCAAACTAAGTATCCTAATTAGACATATAAATATATATACATACATATATATACACATACATATACATATATACATAATTATGCATTTAATAACATATAAACATACTTACACATATATACATACACATACATACATAAACATAACATATATAATGGGGAATGCCTTGGTTGTTTCCAGGCATCCCCCTGACTGCCAGGAGGAAGAGGAACCCCTGCCGGGGGTAACGTGGAGAGTACCATGATCCCACGACTCCCATTCCGGCAGGCGGGGAAGCACTGGTCGGTTTTTAGTGGGTAGTGCCGCCGCCTCTCAAGCCGCTGAGTCCTATAGGCTGGCTGAGCGAGTGGACGGAATTTCGAGGGAGGAGTCCCATGGGGTAAGCGTCACGCATTTTCCCAACATAAAAAAATGCCATTAGCTGCACAATGCTTCCCCTATTAAGTACTTTTGATAGAAGAGGATTATGACTGTACATCTCACGTCCCTCGGAACATTTTCGGATTCCTAGTAAGTAATATCCGATACGTCAACAGCACTGAATCAGATCATCTGAGTATAGACCATATCAATTCCCTCTGCCTATTTTTTTTCTACTTCGTATCAACCAAGCTATAGTTTTTTCATAGAAATGACTTTTTCGGTCGTTGGCATTACTAAGCCCAAAACCAATATCAACGAACTGTGTTCGTCAGCTCCACAAGATTTAGACATTATCTTAGCATTATTAAAAGCATCCCAGCCCGGAGACAAGAAAAATCAAGCAGTTAAATGCCTACGTAAATATAAAAAACCGGCCAAGTACGAGTCGGACTCGCCCATGAAGGGTTCCGTAGCAGCAAGTAACATAATATAAAAGTTCTTGTAGTCCGTTGTACCTTTGATCGATGTTTTAATACAGTATTTTGTTTTAAAGGTAAATTGCGGTTTACGATTTCTGACGTATTAAAAAAACTACTTACTAAATCTCGTTCAAACCAATTTTCGTTGGAAGTTTGTACGGTAACGCACATCATATATTTTTTGTATTTTTCGCATTCTCTTATTTTAGAAATTACAAGGGGGACACATTTTACCACTTTGGAAGTGTCTCTCACGCAAACTATTCATTTTAGAAAAAAATGCATAAGAAACCTAAATATCGTTATTAAAGACCTATTCATAGATAAGCCGCACGTATGGGTTTGATGAAAAAGATTTTTTTTAGTTTTAGTTCTAATTTTTTTTTTTATAGATAGGTTCGACAAATTACTCCACCCCACCTGATGCTAAGTGAAGGTGAAGTCAAGGTAAGAAGATAGCTGATACAGCAGTTCTACCTGCCACACCAGCCATCCTCACCCTGCCGGCCTACATAATAATAATATTAGGGAACCCCGAAAAAATCTTGTATTTTTTTCTATTTTTGTGTGAATATCTTAATGCGGGTCACAGAATACATCTACTTACTAAGTTTTCACAGTATAATTCTTATAGTTTGGGAAAAAAGTGGCTATGAAATACGGACGGACAGACAGACAGACAGACATGACGAATCCATAAGAGCTCCGTTTATTACCATTTGGCTACGAACCCTAAAAAACCGTTGTGTAACTTAAACTTTACTCCCATTTATATACCCCTGGGATCAACGTTGTCAAAAAAATAACTAGGTACTAAAAATGACACGGAGCGTAATCAAAAATTTGCAAGTTTAAGACTAAATACTATTAAAAATTAAAGCAGCATGAAAAAGGTCAGTATCTCAATCTGGACTTAACATTGTTTCATCTCCGACCATTTGCATCGGCATTTTTTTAATGGATCTCTCTTAACATTCAAATTGACTGGTTCCACGTTGGAGTAATTTTGTCCCAGCTCTCTCTGGGAATGGTCTCTGCGGCCTGTATAATAGGTTTCTTAAAAGGAAATCGAGTTAAGAAGGCGTGATTGGCTTTATTGTGATGTATCCTTGACAAAGGAACGTCCTTTAGATTAGCTGGTGAAACACTTTGTATCCAGGATTACTTTGAATTTAGCAGATAAACCCTTTCTTGAAGTCAAAAATCAAATTATAAATATCGTAATTTCATTTAAATACAGTGTGACGATATATTTATCTCTTGGCTTAAAACATATATCTCCATAAGAAATTATGAACTTATTTTATTTTGTTTATTGTAGGTTAAAAACAATGCGAACAGATGGTGCTGCCTTGCAGCCTCAGAAATACTAGAAGAAATTGGACACGGCCATTAAGGCTGCGGTAGTATAATTGGTCAGTGCATCCGCCCGGATAGCGGAGGCTGTGGGTTTGAGTCCCGTCTGCTGCCTGGCCGAAATTTGCTCTATATTCTCTTCATTCATTATATTTTAAGCTGCAACTGCTAGAATGACATTAAAGCAATTAATTAATATTAAAAACAGACTAATCTTCCGAAAAAAGACAATGGCAAACCCTAATGGTAAATCCGATTCATGAACTGTATTTTTATCAAGCGCTAATATAACAGATTAATTAACGATATTGCTGCACTTTCAAACAATCCGAAGGCGAAGGTTTGTTTTGATTCTTATCAAAACAAACCGTCGCCAATGTTCACGCTTGTTTTTCACCGACTGCATTCAATACTTTTGAAGCAGAAAATAGATGGCAAAATCTTCATTAATTTGCCACTTCGAAAATTGAATCGCTTAATCGTGGCCCGGAGTGAGCGGGAACGCATCGGCAGGCATTGTTAATGGCCGGGAACACCTTTGATACTTCGGAATAGAGTAATTAAGTCTCTAGAGCTAATAAGTGTGCTTGGTTTTTCAACGTTTTTCCGACGCGTATTTTTATGACACGTAATTTTTGTAGAGTCCAATTATCATCGTTTGTGCACGTTAAAGAACAATCGACGTCTAGTCGCATCGCATCGTTGCATATGGTATTCGCACATGGTATAGCAGAATACTGTATCATTAATACTTTTATAGCACAGTGTGACCTAAACCCGCACTTTACGCACGCTTTTCCGTGACCTAAGTTGCCTATTTCTGCACGGTGTGTAAATGAATTGACCAACTTCACTCAGGTAGAAAAAATAAAAGGAAACACATTTAAATGTCATTTGGAGCTTAAAAACTCACAGCAAACAAATGATAAATTAGCGATAGGTTAGGAATTTTTCAGTGACAGCCAAAACAAGGAGAAACGGTTAGCTATAATTCATTCCGCGAGAATTGTATCTTTTGGTCGAAAATGGCCAGTTCGGATAGTGACCTAAGCGAATACGAGAACGGTGAAATTGTTCCGGACGCAATTAAAGAAGTGGCGAAGTCAGTGACATTGAATTTGTTGCCCCAAAAATCGAAACGGCTGTATACAGCAGCGTATAATGCATTTAAAAAATGGCGACGAGAGAATAAATCGAATTCGTTTTGCGAAGACGTGCTGCTCGCATATCCGGGCGGGTTTATGTCACACTTGCTATAAAATAGTATACGATACTTGTGGCCTAAGTTGTCTATTACTGCACGCTAACTTCACGCCGTCACAGCGGTGACACTCTCTGTACGTGAGAGTTCCAGCGTCAGTGACCTTGAGCGTGTATGCGCTAGGGCTGAACTTGGAATTTAGACTTGTGCCAATGTATATTTATGCATAGTAAGTTATTAAATGTAAACTAATTCAAAGATACTGGGGTAAATAATGAAGGATAGGTTTGATTTTATAATCAATTTTTAATCTTTTAATGTAGGTACTATAACAAATTGCTAACTTTTATATATTTTCTCCTTTTTCGATTCGTTTTATAATTCTTGTTATTATTTAAATAATAATAAGATTGCGTAGCGTAGTCAGTCTGTGCGTGCAATGCAGTGCAACGCTATTATTTTACTATTTCGCTACTGCCATCCCTTCCGTCGAGGCAGTCGGCGACTGCCTTCTCCACGTCCCGCGCGCCGCGCAACGCCCCCGCGCACCTCCAGACACCCACACATAGCCGCGGGCGATTTTACGAGCACACATGCTTAAGTGTCGCTTCTTTTCCCGTAGTGTATATATTCTGTGACGCCGTGCAAGTAATAGGCAACTTAGGTCACGCGTATCGTA